CCGCCAGGAAGAGCTCAGCACAGGCCCAGCCCTAGCCTGGAGCAGCAGCCTACCCTTGCCCTGTACACAGATCCAGGGACATATGCCCTCTTGGGATGCACTTAGTGTCAGGAACTGTCCCTGCCTCCCCCCCATGCCCTCCAGGCAAGCTGCTTGCAGCTTTGTCCCGTACCCTGCCCTGCCTCAGCTGTGCAGCGCGTGCTCCAGCCCCACTCCCTCCCTCATCACGGGGACCTTGATCTTCCCTCCCTCTGCCCCTTCCCCCACAACAGATTTACCAGCCAGACGCTGCTCTCCGAGCTGCTGGGATGCACTCCTAGCCACCTGTGTGCTGCAGCTGTGTGCATGCACAGGGCATTTATTGGAGAAGTTATTGGCTGTGTCAGCCAAAAAAAAGCTGATTGCCTCTTATGCCAATTTTCCTTATATCAGTGCCGATACAATAAGGGACTAATGTATCGATTCACCTCTAAAAAACAGTTTTTAATATGGAAAATAGAACACTAAGAAAAGTAAAAATTATGAAAAAAAATCTAAAATCCTATGCTAACCTAACATTAAAGTGCATAATTAAATCATGTCAATTAAGAATATTCAAAGTTAAGTTTTCTGCAGCAAAATGAATTTGTGACACTGCGTTACTGTGAGATCTTCTGTGTATGATTATGCTCACTGAAGAAATGTGTTATCATGGAGCCTGTAATTATACCAGAAAGTGTGGTATGATTTCAGAAAGAAAGAAGCAAAGTTTTTTTGGTAATACCTTTTATTGGGCCAACCATATAGTTGGGAGATATTTTAGGTGAGTTTTTGAGCACAAAGTTCCTTTAGGTCTGGGAAAGAAGCAAAAATGGCCTGTTCCACAACCCATGGGAGTCAAATGTACAGCCCATGGAACTGTTGCATCCGGCCCACTTATGAACTACCAGAACAGTGCACGCTTATTTATGCACTGCTGCACACCCCTGTTATTGCTGACTGACTAGAGTTCTTCACCATGAAGCAGCTGCACAGAGCTGGAAACGCGTGGCAGCATGGAGCTCCTTGGGCATGCAAAGAGCCAGGGTCATGCGGTAGTGCAAAGCTGTGGCTGGGCAGTGGTGTGAAGCCATGTTTAGGCAGTGGTGTGGAGCCAGGGCTGCCACTCAAAGTCATTTCCATTGTCTATGCCACTGTATACGCTCGGCTCCAGCTCTGTTCTCCTGCCTGAATATGGCTTTATGTAGCTGCACGCCCCCAGCTCCGTGCCACTGACTGGCCAGAACTCTGCACTGCTGTATGGCTCTAGCTTCTCACTAACATATGCCTCTGGCTCCATGCTGCCAATTTTGGCTCTGTGCTGCCAGTTGTGGCTCCATGCAGCCACATGCCCCCAGACCCACAATAGAGAGACTTGACAGTGGACTTGATTTTCTCTAGGCCTTGGGCAGTCTCCCAACCTTTCCTTTCAAACAACGTCAGAGGCATGGGGGTGAGTGAGAGGGAAGAGACTGGAGGAGGCAGAAGTCAGGTGGTCACAAGGAAGTGCTAAAGTGCTGCTCAACCCCCTGCCCTGCCACACTT